AGATGGTGGAGGGGGGGGTTCTGATTACTTAATAAAAGGAGTGGTTGGAATAAGGATGTCTCGCATGGATTCTTCTCCAAAAAAGAATAATCATCCTGGGCACTCAAAGATACTTTGCTCTTTATTTTATAAATAAACAAATTATTTGGGAATAATTATTCAAATTTATCTTCTAAATTCTGATTAATTGGAATATTTTGTGATTTTATATATATAAAAATGAAATGAAATTCTTTTTGTTTTGTTTAAATCAGAATACATTTTAAGCTAAAAATTTAATTCACTTCTAAGGAAAAAAAAAAAAACTATGGCTGAAAGGAAATTGAATATATTAAAATCGAAAATGATTGTTTCAATCTTTAAACATACCAATTAATGCCATAAACCCTTAATGACATCAATCCCTAAATATCCATGAAAATATGAATTGATATATTCTACAAATTGTCTGAAATTGAAATATGTTTGAAGTGTTTTTATTCTGTGATAATTCATATTTACAAATATGAAAAAGGCCATAATTTTTCTATGAATATTTTGTTTTTTATTTCGTTAAAAATAAACAAAAATAGTGTTTTTATGTTCAGCACCTAGACTCTTGGAATAAATAGGGAATCATCTCTACTGTAAGTGAACTGGGGAGTTACAGGCATGTGCCAAGCATCATCTATTTTTGTTGTTGTTTAATTTTTAACTTATTTCCAATTGTGTCTTTTTTTTTTTCACCTGTTTTGATATTTTTCAGGGTTGTTGTTTTTTTATTATGCACAATTATTGGTATATAATCTCTTCTCTGTTTTTAAAGATTGAGTAAATGAGAATTGTCTTCCATTGCTTAGAAAGAAAAGAGTCAAGATTTAGTGATATTTTACACCATACATAAGATAGAACACTATAATGGCTTGGTTGCTGGTGTATACATGTTAACCAGACAAAACCAAGGATGGGTAGAGGGTGTGATAGCTACAGTTTGCTTTTTTTGGCTCTAAGGTAGCAACACCTCTAACCACAGAAACATGTATAAACACAAGCATATGTTTATAGAAAAAACAATAACAACTATTTATTAGGCAGAAACACTGGTGCTGTGGATAAGAAAAAGGATAAAGTTTCCATCAGGGCAATTTTTTGCACTGGTCATAAATCACATGTGTATGCTTTTTGGGAGCATATTTGGTTTTAGTATCTAATGGTTGTACTTACAAATAAATCCAAGTATCAATTGGTGGAGCATTAGTTCTTGCATCAAATTCCTTGTCTAGGAGTAGTTAATGGAATTTTACAGTGCTAATGTATCGAGCAGATGTTTTGTTCCTGGTCAGTCAACGTGGTTGCTTCTCCTTTGTCGCTATCTGTTTAAATACTGATTCTCCTTTGCTTATATTGGTAGAGATAGACACAACTTGAACACAATTTTAGATTTTAGATTTTCGGCCTTCTGTTTGATTGGCCAATTTTGAATCCTTAATTCTGATTTGCTGGTTTCGTTATTTTACTGAAACTATGCCCACGTGTTTACATTATAGTATAGTTTTTTGTTTGTTTGTTTATTGTGTGTGTATTAGTGCACCTGAGGACTGCTGTCTTATTGTGCATTGCACAATAACATGAAGAATATATGACGTGGTATGCTTACATAATTTTATTGGTCATAATAGTCTTGTCTGAATTTCTTTCTTAAATATTTTTATTAATTTTGAACCTTTTTTTTTTCTTCTTCATTTTATTGCTTTTTAGCTGATGTCCATGGCTAAATCAATAAACATGTCATCCATATATCTTAGGCTCTCATGATATAGGCTCAAATCTTATGAAAGGCTACTTTGTTTTGGAATTTCAAAAAGAATGTAATGAATCAAACAAAGCGAAAGCAAAACTTGTCAAAAAATTAATACTATACTTCCCACCATACAAGTTACATACTTTATCTTATAGTCCAGTGAGTGAGTTGTCTATATTTTTATATATAATGGAGGCATGGTGGAGTAAAGGATTGTGGCTCGGATTGAGAAATCTGAGGGCCGAGTTCAAATTCCAGTTGGATCCATTATATTCACTTACATCCTAATACTGTGATCCAGGGATCAGTCTGCTTAAATTTTTCAGGATTTAGTCTAATAAACAGAAAAGAAAGACATTTCAATGAAACTAATAGAATTGTTAAGATTCTTGAATACCTTATAAAATACTGTATATGCTGACATACAAGGCTACTGGGCGTATAGGACAATCCCTAAATTATCAAGTTAGAATGTAGGTTTTAGGCTATATTCTCCATACAAGATGACCTAAGTAAGCATATACTTTCTTTTCATTCAAATTTTGATGAAAAACAGTGGGGAGAAATTGCTAATTAACTACCACAGTATGTCATGAGTGCGTGCTGTGTTTTCAGTAGGTTATTACGGTAGCCTGAATGACTTTTCCCCACCACTAACCATCCACTTGTTCCACTGTTCTTGAATGTGATCTTGCATAGACACACATCCAGTTGTGTTTTTGTTCAACATCATCAAAAGAAGGATGCGAGGCTGAGGTTAGCCTGCCGTCAAAAATCTCCCCTGCTAACAACTTACCATGAACCACAAGATTTAAGCTTCACATTTTATACCTGGAGTATAAGATGGCCCCCTAATTTAGGGGGGTATTTTTTAAGGTTAAAATGTTACCTGGTACATTGACATACTTGGTAACTTATTTAACAAGTTTTTGTTAAATTTTGCCCCCTTTTTGTTTTGTTTTTGTTTTTTTTTTCAAAATGACTAAATTATGATTACAAATGAAAATAATGTTATATGTTTATATATTATCATTTTACAAGTTTCTCTGGGAGAGAAGGTAATACTGTACGCAGATAAATATGATATATCTTTGCAAAAATAATCTGCGTCAACTGTTTATGTTAATGTTTATGTATATTTACTTAATTAGTGATATAATATTCAGCATTCTTACATGAGAATTTATTGTCTTGAAAACATTAAGGGTATGCAAATCTCAATACACATCTTCTTCTATTTGACGTGTCCTCTCAGGACATGGCTCTCCACAATTTCCTGCCCTTTGTAGCTCTTAATAAATTTTGTCTTTTTGTTATTTCTCCAAAACCTTGTTCCACCATCCATTCACTCAAGCTCACTAAGTAGATTATGCGTTGTTTTCCTCTGTTCCTCTTGCCTTCAATCTGACCTGTGAGTATCAGATTTTCCAAGCCCTGTTTCCTCATTATGTAGCCTAGAAATTTCAACTCTGTCTTCCTGATGTTATGTGTAAGTTTCCGTTTTGTTTCCACTTTCTCTAAAACTTTCTCATTGCTCACATGTTCAGTCCATGATATCCTTAACATCCTTCTGTAGAACTACATTTCTGTTGCTTTAAGTCAGTTCTTCATCTTTGAGGAGATTGTCCAGCATTCAATGCCATATAGAAGGACAGATATCACATAATAGTTCAGTGCTGTGTTCAAAAGAAGAGTGGAGGTCTATTCATTCACAAGGCCTAATGTTGGAATATACTTGCCACACCCGGTTTTTATTTACCCATGGATATTTTTTATTTAGACATGTGCTAACAACCAAAATGATGTTTTCCAGTCTTAAACACTGCAGAGTTGAAAATAAGAGACTGATATTTTGAAACATTATTTAAAAAAAGATTTCATCATCATAGCTGTGTTTTTGGGGGTTTTTTTGGGGTTTTTTTTTAAGCAGGATTGGGATTAATCTCACACAAAGCAAGGTTGGCCCTGCTTGACAGAGGATCTCTTGTCATGATAAAACAAGGTTTTACAATGCCAGATAGTTTTCTTGACACCCAACTCACACTCACAGTAGGAGCCCAAATACGCAGAATGTTTTTATCAAGACACCATCTCTAGGAATGTTACCATTCAAGGCTTGATAACTCCATCTTAAACTTTATATATATATATATATATATATATATATATATATATATATATATATATATGCCACTGGCTCCTATAAGAAACATATCCACCTATTGACAGGTTTTGTTTTTTATCTTGTGGGGGTAACATGCCACACCCTCCTCACCAGCAGAAAAGCTAGTGGGAGATCTGGTTTAGATATCAACTACCCATCCATGCGGCAGATTGTACTGGGTTACATGTAACAAGCCTGACCTGACCTAATTTGAAAAAAAAATAGTTTTTATGTCATTGTTAGCTGTGGCTGTTTGAATTTCAAATCATTGCTGTTTGCTGTAAACTTCATGCTACTGACTTATTTATCCTTTTTAATCCCAGCTTTGTTCTGTCAGAAGTGATGTTATTCATTTTTTTTATTTTGTTCCTTTCTGGCTCAAGCCGTCAACAATTTGAATTACAATTTCTAAATAATTTTTGAACATTTTATTTATAGATTTTCCTATTTATTTCGTTTTTCTCTTTTTCAGCACAAAATCTTTAAAAAAAAAAAAATTTTTTTTTTTTTTATTTTATTTCTTTTTTAGAAAGATTAAATTCAGTTAGGAGTGATTTATTTTTTTATTGTTTTTTTTAAGCTTGGCAATTCTGTCATCTAGATGGTTTCATTTTTTTCTTTCCAATTCCATCAATCTTTTTGCAAGTTTCTTTGGTAACATGCTACAATGGTTACAGACATTATCTTTAGTCACATGAATTTAACTCTTTTTTTTTTTTTTTTTCCTCTATGTATGCAGTATTTGCTATCCTGGTTCAGTTCATCCTTTTCTCCTTTTTCACAGAATTGGTCCTAATATTTTATTATTTGCATGTTCACTAAATTGTTTTTAAGTTTTTCCTTCTATATCAGAACCAAAAAACAATGTTATTTTTGTACCTGATAGTTTATATGAATGTTTGTGACCCGCTTGATTTTTCCCTTTGTTATTAATTTATACATTTTGAAAGTCGCTTCTTGGTTTCAATATGTTCACTTATTTTCCTCTCTGATTTGTTTTTGTTTTTTTTTTTCTTCTATTTCTTTCTCTCTCTTCACTGCCTCTGCATCTTCCAGGGAAAAAACCTAAAAAAGAAAAAGGCAGCAGCAACAATGGCTCAACGCGTAAGAACAAAACCAACAAGGCAAAAAACGGTAAGAAATGAAGTATGTAAAACCATTACAAATTCTTTTCTTTTTTTCCTTTTTCCTTTTCCCTTTTTCTCCCTCCCTTCTCTCTCTTTTTTCTCCCTCCCTTCTCTCTCTTTTTTCTCCCTCCCTTCTCTCTCTTTTTTCTCCCTCCCTTCTCTCTCTTTTTTCTCTCTCTCCCTTCTCTCTCTTTTTTCTCTCTCTCCCTTCTCTCTCTTTTTTCTCTCTCTCCCTTCTCTCTCTCTTCTTCTCTCTCCCTTCTCTCTCTTCTCTCTCTCTTCTTCTCTCTCTCTCTTTCTCTCTTTTCTCTTTCTCCTCTCTCCTCTCTTTCACTTCTCTCTCTTTCACTTCTCTCTCTTTCACTTCTCTCTCTTTCACTTCTCTCTCTTTCTACTCTTTCTCCTCTCTCTTTCTCTCCCTTATTTTCTCTCTTTTTTTAATCTCTCTCTTTCTCCCTCTCTTTCTCTCTCTCTGGTTGGAAAAAAATTTCTTGCTGTTTGTAGAATATAAAATTTATTTACAAACCACAAGAATTTGCCTTAAACCCAGGCAATTTTTCCATGTTTGATATTGTAAAACTAAGAATGTTTACTTTGCCTTAACCCTTTAGTCTTCAATCCATCCTGTAAATATCGGCTCTCAATGTTCAACCTACTGTAACTAACCCCATGTATACTCGACTATAATACATTACATCATCGAAGGAAGTCAGGCAAACAGTGAGACTTTGAGAGCTGATATTTATGGGGTGGATTATTAGTGACATAGATTTACCATTTCCCTTTCAGTTGATTTACTTCTTTGACTATTTGTATTTTGGGGGGCATTTTGTATAAATTTTCATTTTGTTTTGATGTGAAATTTAATATGTAAATAATTTATATCAATTTTCTGTGTCTGCAACTGTTCATCATGTCTTTATGACTTTGTCAATCACTGAAGTTAAGCATTATTGTGTCCCGTCAGTACTTAGATGGGGGACTGCTTGGGAAGCTACTGTAAGCAAACTCTTACAATACAAAATATGTTTTGGCTTTAAATATCCCTCAAAGTATTTATAAACTGTAAAAAAAAAAAAAAAATCAATGAGTTTGGCAAAGGTCAAGTTCTTTTCCTGCAGTTTGTTGTTGTCCTGCTGTTCATAGATGAGAATTAAAAATTCCAATATCCTGTCATGATATTTACAAGTGGTGGGTTGAGGAAATAGAACAGATTCTCAGTGACTTTTACTGAGCAACTCAAGAATGCGAAAGTTATATATCAGCCCATTTCAGGAAATAAACACAGGAAGAATATCTACATAAATGTCATCAAGCCAGTCTTCAGAAACTTCAACTTACAGGCTGACTACTCTTGATTCAGTTTGAAATTCAAACAAATATCACCTGAAGAAGGCTGAAGCATACAACAGTTGAAATGTTGTGAATGTGACAATAAAGATGAGGACAACAGTTCGAACAATGTAAATAGTGTAAATAGTTACAATACCTCATCTCAGAAATGTAGACAGATGTTAAAAGGATTAATAGCGATAATATTGTATTTTTTTATGTATAATACGAATTGTGTATAATATGACCCTGTGTTTCTGAAGCTAAGAACAGAGAATAAATTACATCCTTGAGTATAGTACGAACACATGTTACTGAAACTAAAAACAGGGAATACATTACATCCTTGAGTATAATACAACCATGCAGTACAGCTATACTTATGTAAAAATTTCTCCTAATTTCCATTTTTAAATTTATTTTTAAATTTTTCAGGAAAGGTGCTAACTAGATATACATTTTAAGGTTTTAATTAATCTAATCTTTTCAATTAATTAACCTAATCTTCTCCATTTGATATGACTTTATTATATTTCTATATATATATAAATAAAGTATGAAAATTAAAAAAATATCTTTCATTAAGAATGAAGAGAAACAAATATTACTAGGTTTAAGAATGAAGATAGACAACAGATATTGCCAGATTATTAAATACCTTTCATAAACAATTGTTACTAACACGTACCTATTTTGTATTTTATTATCTGTTGTGTTAACTGAGTGTATTTGCAATATCTCTACGTCAAATAAGAGTTGTTTTTTTTTTTTAAAACTGAGTAACAATTTCTGAAAATGTGTACTTGTATATAATATGATCCCTGCTTTTTTTTTGCATTTAATTTACATTCAAAATTTCTCGTATTACTCACAAAAAAACATGATGATATTCTTGTTAATAACCCTAATTAGTCCTTATTTTAACTTTGCATTATTTGTACACACTATTTTCCTTGGTTGAACAGTTAGAACATTTAACAATGAGTCCTGGGTTCAAATCTCACCATGGTCAATTTGTCAATGAAGTGAGATCTTGATGTCAGTTTGGGGAGACAATCCCAGCATGCAACACTGTTAGGAAATGCTGGAAAACCTTACTTTGGGTTGATACAAGTCTTGTGAATGAAATTGGGTTAACAAAACCATTTGGGATCATTATTTACATGTGGACTATTGTCCTCATCTTTCAGCTGTTGTGCCCTTCATCCTTCATTAGGTGTATGTTGATCCAGTTAACCTACATGGAATTCTGAACTGAATCTTTTATTTAATCTATGGGGGAAGACTGTTCTCATTCCACTGCCTGAGTCAAGGGATATCACATCTAGTTCTTACTTTTAGTACTACTCAGCCAGTTTCTATTGAGGCCAAGTACACACTGCCCAGTTCAGGGATTGAACTCACAATTACTTTGTCACCAAATTCACAAATCAGGGCTTTACTAGGCTATTGTCTTGTAGTAAATAATGATAACTCTTCATCCAAGAAATTCAGTGAGAAATGTTCAGGATCAATTGATGTTTATGCTGACATGAAGTCATAAGTAATCATAACTGAATGTTTGAGCATAATGACTTTGTTCAACTGCCGATTATACACTCTCTCTCACTCAAACACTATAACTAAGGTGTGCTCAGTATAGTTTCAGTATAAGTCTCAGGTAAGCTCTGTGGGTGTTGAACAACCACAAAAGTGCCTGAGCAGGTATCTGCAACAGGGATTAACTAGCCACCCTAGCTGACAGGTGTATTCAGAAATGAGCAGCCATCCATTATTATTATTATTACTTCCCTTTCCACTAAAAATGGTAGCCTTCAACTGCAGCTACTTAGCTGGTTGTTTTTGCTGTTGCCATAACAGGATTTGACAACAACGCTGTAAAAGTTCGAATATGCTATAGTTAAATAATCATGTGGTAAATGAAGTTGCCTACAGCGACATGGCAGAGTGAAGAACTGCAAAATTTTCCCCTAGGCAGCAGCTGTGTCAAAATATCTTTGCTTCTGGGTGCTGAAAACACACGTACAAAGTTCGAAATAACCCAAAAAGTTGCAAATAATCAAAATTTATATTTTAACTAATGTTCACCTAATACTAGGCTCGAGAGCCACTCAAAGTTGGGTTATTGTCAAAATGTTTATGAGTGAAAGAGTGGGTGGTAGGAAGTGAAGATTATGAGGATATATGGAGAATAGATCCTGACTGAATCTTGATTTGAGGAGGTTCAGATTGTAGTGTTTGGGGAAGCATCCACACAGGAGCCTGTTAGACAAAGTGGCTATTCTTGGGAGTGGGGGTCAAACTTTCCCATTTTTATTTGGAATATGGAGGAAATGAGGATCATTCAACTCCATGGAAGTAACATGGCAAGACTTAGCTGTAAAGGTCTGAATTGGTGGGACAAAAGAATGGCGCACTCATTTGAACATATACTGTGGGAATTGCGATAGGCTTGCAATGTTGCATCTGTAAGAAAGGGGATGCAGAGTTGGGAATAAATCTCAACAATAAAGCCACCCACCCAACAAGACTGTATAAATAATTTTGAACTCTACCAAGACTGGAAAGTGAGGATTGTGCTGTTCCAGCCCAATCATGCTAGGCTGTCAAAAGTAACCCAATATGGCAAACCTGTATAAGCATTAAAGCTGAAAGTTGTTGATGTTGCTGAAGATATTTCCTACAGTTATAAAATTATTGTAAATCAACTTGTAATATTGATTTTTTAAAGTGTTTAGATGAATTGAAGTTAATTCTCATGTAACTACTACTCTGTCCCATAATAGTTGTAACGTTTGATTGCATGTTTCATATACTAAAGGTAACAGCTATTTTGGGACGGAGGTAGTATTTTAGTTGGAAATCACAGAGCCAAGTTCTAATTCCAGTCAGGTTCGTTATATTCACTTATGTGCAAATACACTTCAGAATAGTATGACTCCACCTCTTCTCCTCCCCAGCTATAGGTTAATTAGTAGGATTTGTATCAGTAAATCATTATCTTCAAAAAATTCTTACAATCTAAAAATATTTTCCGGCTTTAAATTACCCACAAAAAGGGGTTGATAAATCATAAAAATGAAATCAATTAATCATGGCCGGGCCTTATATTACATTAAATATGATTCCTCTCTTTTTCAGGCGAAGGTTCACCTGATAGTATAACAAATTATGAAAATATGTCTCTTGGTAAGTGAAATTCAAAATCAGCTTTTGTTAAGTATTGTACTGTGGTGTAACATGCTGTGGACAAGTTTACTCCTGACCAGTTTTATGAGATTTTGTTTTGTATGAAATGTCCAACTTAGTTATTCCTTTATTGCAAGATCATTGCTTTTTTTTTTTATACAGAAAGCAATCGGCTGACTGCATTCCAAAGTGAAGAACATATTAATCTGTTGGACATTGCAAGCTTAGAACAAAACTACATTCAAATAGTCTAGTGAGAAATATAAACTCTGTCCGGAAAGTGTACGACCATTTTGTTAATATCTTGAAAACTGTTTACCCAGCCAATTTGGCATCCAGTCAGAGGCGAACTTAACCATGTATGAGCAAACACTCTCCTGTGGGGTTACTCAGTCAACAAGTGAGCTTGTGTAGCTTGGGACCGTTACATTCATCATGACAATCTACCTGCCTGCTCGTTGTTCACATGCAGGGTTGGTTTGTGTTTTGTTTTTGTTTTTGGGGTTTTTTTTGGCAAAACATTGTGCCACCATCACCCAGGTATGTCATACCCCTGTACAGTCCAAATTTGGTTTCCTACAGTTTCTGGCTTTTCCTAAAGCTAAAAATGCTATGGGGAGGGGGATTTCAGACCATGGATGAGATTAAGGAGAATGTGATGAAGCAGTTGGGGCTGATCCTGAAAGAGGATTTTGCAGATAGTTTTGAAAAGTGGATGCTAGTGAAGACTGAAAGGAAGTACTTTGAAGCATGGAGACAAAGGTGTCATTGCCTTACATGGACTTCTTTTTTTTTTTCTTTTTAATATTAAGCATCTAGGTTCTAAACAGACATCATAGACTGTAAGACTGGTAAATTAGAATATTTAGCTAATTATTAAGGCATTCTGTAATGATAGCATGCTTATTTCAAGAAGACAGACCTGCTTTTATACTATGAAGTTCTTTTCTGTTTTGCGTCTTTTATTAAATAACATGTGACACTTATACAAGTATGACACCACCTCTTCTCCTCCCCAGCTATGGGTTAATTATTATTTAATAAATTGAAAGAAGGAAAGAAAGAAAGCAAAATATCATCAATATTAAAGAACACATTTGTCTTCCAGTTTGCCTTGGGAAGATATGACAATACAATGAATTTCTTCCTTTTGAGAATAATCCAATGTCTAAAAAAAAAAAAAAAAAAATGTCTTCTATGATCAAAAAGTTTCTTAAATGAATTGGTTTGTTGTTGTGATGTGGCCAAAATGTTGCAGTTTTATTAAAATGATGCAGGTTATTTTACAAGGTAAAAGTCATTGGAGGAAGAGAAAAAAAGTTCATGACAGTCGTTTCTGGTCTGTAAAATTTTATCCCTGTCTGTTTTATACAGTTAAATGATAATATGGATTTGGCTTAGCTAATATGATGGACAAAAAGTGAGAGCTCAGTTTAGCATTATACTTACATTGTAAATTGAAACCTTCTCTAAAAATGGAATTTTCACATGCCCTGAGGTTCCATTAGTGACCTGAGATAATTTGATGGCCAAAGATCTCAGCAACATTGACTTATTCAATGACAAAGACACTTTCTGAATAGTAGTAAGATAATGGATGTTGTTTTCTTCTACTACATTACATTTTGTTGTTAAATGCTTTCTGTCATTAAGTTACTTTGAAGATTACATGAATGATGTGAGTTGTCTAAAATGCATTGCCTTCCTTCATGGCTAAGAAGACTGATTGCTTATCAAGGGCAAGGGTGGGGAATTTCTTCTTTTTTTTTTTTAAAAAATGATTTGACTTTTTTTTTTCTTTTCAGAAGAGCGACAGAATATTCTTGCAACAGTAAGTCCAGTTTTTAAAGTTTTGCTATGAACAACCTTTATGATTTTTTTTTTTTTTTTTTTTTTTTTTTTTTTGGCAGTATTAAATAGTAATAGAAAATTTTGATTGTTTTTTAAACTTGAATACATGTATAGTAGTTTGTTTTAATTCATAACTAATTATTAAATACATAAACTGAAGCAAAACATTCAATAGAGTGCCAGGGTATACTAAACAGACTTCTGTAAAGAAAAAAACAAGAAAAAGTAAAAGATTTTCAACTCACCCCACTGAAATTCTCCACTGGAGGGTAATTCCTCCCCACACACTGAGAACCACCATGTTTAGATATTTGAGTGGGAGATATTTAGAGTGGAATAACATTGATTTAGACCAGAGAAAAAGACAACTTTTTATTTGCAATACAATAATGCCAGACTACACATCAGTTTGAAAAGCATAGTTCATGTGACAAATTTTGGTTGGACAATCATATCTCACTAAGCAAATGTTTTGGCCAGACAGTCCTGTCTCACCGTGCCGACGTCTTGGGCGGACAGTCCTGTCTCACCGTGCCGACGTCTTGGGCGGACAGTCCTGTCTCACCGTGCCGACGTCTTGGGCGGACAGTCCTGTCTCACCAAACAAATAGTCCAGATTTGATGACTTCCAGTCTCTGTTTGTTCAAAAAGATGAAATATGAACTATGCAGATATTTTTCTGACAACAATAACATTATCATTGCTGGAAAAAAAAAATGCATTGCATCTTCTAGTGCAAATTTCTAGAAGCTATCATTCATCTCTGGCAAAAAATGCATATCCAATGGTGATGAAAAACTTGCTCTATCCAGTGGTGCTATTGTGCTCCTTATATTTGTTTCCTTTTGTGGAAATAAATTGGAGGAATTACTTTCAGTGCATCCCTTGTAGGCATAAGTTCACCAAAAAGCTTGTTATTTTAAGTATGAAAATAATAAAATGCTTAAAATTTGATGAACCAAGTTTGTAACCTTGGACTAAAAATTGACTAATAAAAAGTAGTCCTTTGAAAGCCTTTGTGTTTTCTCAGCCATGAAACTGAAACAAAAGTGTAAATGATAAAGAAACCATTTATAATGCTGTAGCATTGCCCTTAAATTCTTTATTAGAAATCTATCTTGTTGCAAGGGTAAAGTGTTGTTCTTTAAGATTTTATCACTGAATTATTTTATTGTCTGAGAATTAATATTTTTAATATAAAAATTGTACAGGATTTACTAGATTTAAAGGAAAAAAATACTGCATACATGAAATTTTTATTACACTAAGAGGCTTACAGCCATGACACGTTAAAACACCAGTTCTCATCTGACCACCAAAGTTAAGCAACATTGAGCCTGGTCAGTACTAAGATGGGTGACCGCTGGGAATACCAGGTACTGTAAGCTTGGATGTGTAGGTAGTGTAATAGATAATGGCTCAGAATTGGAACTCAGAAAGCCAAGTTCCAATTCCAGTCAGGTTCGTTATATTCATTTACGAGTAAATACCCTTTGGAAAGGTATAAATCTACCACTTTAGTTAATTAGTAGAACTTTTATAATTATTATCTCCAAAAAATTCTTGCAATCTAAAACATTTTCTGGCCTTAAATAACCTGAAAACAGTTGTTAAACCATAAAAAAAACAAATCAAGCACTCATTACAATAAGGAAAAGAAAGAACCCTCAGCAGCAGTTATAGGGGCAAGATTTTTATTTTGCTGCCCCTTTTTTCTTTTGTTTCACAATTCATGGGATCCAATTTTGAAAAATAAAATTGCAGTCATGGTGCACTAGGGTTTCAATAAAATTTACTTTATTTTGTATAATTCCCAGTTAATTTTGAAAAAAAAAATAACACTTGTTGAAACAAAATAATTTTGTTCAGTGGGCTGATTTTATTTATTTTTTCTGATACTTGGATTATGAATGGATTCAGAAACATTTCAGTCTTGATAAAAATTGTAGTAGAAAATCTTTCAGTTACCAAATGAACAATATGAGAGAAAAATCTAAAGATAGTGCGTTGGAAAATTTTATTAGGAAATTAAAATTAGCAAAGTTCTAGCTGAATATCTTCAAACAATATTCAAAAATCATTAGGAAAGGCACAATCAAATTTATTTTATAATCTTATATCTCTATGTCAGCCATTTTGATTCTTATGTATTTAAAAAAAAAAATACAGAAATGGCTTTTCAAGTACAAATTACAGATCAGCTATGTGAATCTGTGTTCTTTTTTTATAAAGCCAATATATGATAATACCAAAAGTTGTGAATTTCACATTAATTTTATCTTTCAACTTAATGATTGAAATAACATGTCTTGGTTGAAAAAAATAATTTTCTTTTCTGTGTCTTGTCTCTTCAGGATTTGGGTGATGTTAGCTCTCCATAATTTCTTGTCCTCTCTAGCTCTCAGCAATGTTTGACCTTTTACCATACATCTTCTTCTCTACATTCACATAAAATTATTAGGTTGGTTACTCAATGTCTCCTTATGCACCTTGATATTTTTATCTTTTTGCATTTTTTTTTATCATTTCGCCCCAAGAAAGGCAATAAAGCCACTAAGATGCAAATCAGTACTGAGTGTGAGAGAATATAAGACAACGAAAAACATTAAGGAGAGAGGACAATAAAAGAACAAGAATTAAGAAGACAGAATATAGCGATTGACATTCATTTACATTTTTGAAGACCAGAGTTGACTGGGAAGCAAGAAGCCAGAAGAGAAATCTATAAGCAAGAAATGCAACTGTTAGCATAGAACTTACAGCTGTATCTAGCTATTTCAGCTGTAAATTGAGGAGATCTTGCCCCCAATCTAGTACTGCACTTAAATTCATAAAGTCTAGGTGCCATTGAAAAAAGTTCATCAGCTCAATTCATCATCATCATCATTCGACCGTAATCAGGATCATCGGGCCAATGTGAATGATCCATCCTTTAGTTCAATAGTATTTGCTATGCCAGGGCTACATACAGTTTAAGTGTTAGAGAGTATTAAGGAAAGATAGGACAATAAAAGTGCAAAAATTAAGACAGTAGAAGATAACGATTGACGTTGTATTTCAATTTTGGAAGATCAAAGTTAACTGGGAAGCAAGAAGCCAGAAGAGATTTCCACAAGCAAGAAGTGCAATAGAAAAAACTGTTAGCATAGAACTTACGGTTACATCTAGCCATTTCAACTATAAAATGATGAGATCTTGCCCCCAATCTAGTACTGCACTTAAATTCATAAAGTCTAGGTACCATTGAAGAAAGTTCATCAGAACAATTACCATGAAAATATTTTATAGAAAAAGCACAGGGAAGCTACGTTATGGTGGTGGGAATGTGACTGAAATCGAGATGCCAGGTCAGGACCAATAACATTGCAGATTCTTTCTATTTTATCTGGAATTTCTAAATACATAGCAGAAACACTTGACTAGATGTGCCAGCAAATATTCAATGCATGGACAAATGATAGACTTATAAATGTGGAAGATAGATTCTGAATTCTAGAAAAAATTGCCTCGTACGAAACGGTGAACTAACTTTCCTAGCAGCAGAAAACATTAGACCGAGAAGGTGCAACAAGTCACTCTCCTGGAGTTTAGCATCAGCCATGCTCATGGAAGGTAAAAAGAGTTCTTTCGGACGATTAAAAAGAGAGTAGTTTCATTTTGGTGGCATTAAAATTAACTAGCCATTCCTTGCCCCAGTTAATAAATTGTAGATCTTTTTTTTTTTTTTTTTTTTTCTTTTTTTTTTTTTCTTTTTTTTTTATATCAGAGGCTAATATTCTGTAAGTATTAAATTCCCTAAGCCCTCCTTCCTCACTATGTAACTCAGGAATTTCAGCTGATTTTCAGTCCATGATATTCTCAGCATCAGTCTGTAGAACTGTATCTTGGTCATTTCAAGTCTCTTCTTCCTCTGTAAGGAGATTGTCTAGCATTCATTGCTTTATAGAAGGGTAGATATGACATAGCAGTTTAGAACTGTTTTGCTTTGTTTCTAATGAAATTTTTTGTATCTTTATACTTTGCTTAGCTACCACAAGGCATTTTTTTCTTTTTTTTTTTTTCTTTTTTTTCTTTTCTTTTTTTTTTTTTTTTTTGCAGAGTTTAAAAGTTGTTAAATCTGTTTGGTTCCTGGAGAAAGTAAAATTGATATTCTGTTTCTATTTAATTTTCTCTTTTTAGTGTTGTGGAGTCATATCAGAACACACAAAGAAAATGTGTACTCGTAGCTTTCGTTGCCCTCAGCACAATGATGAACAGAGGCGGACAGTCCGACAATTCTTGCTCAACAATGACAACGCCACAGCACATGAGTAAGTACTCAGTAATCTCCCCATCATTTTCTTTCTCTCCCATCGGGATGTGCAGGTGGTGTAATGGATACTGGCTAAATAAACCACAAAGGGTTGATAAGCCATAAATTTTTGTGTGCATGTTTTTTTTCCTTCCTGTTAAAGCCCCAAAATCAAAAGATTACCAGCTCACTATTTTAATAACTTTTAAATTTAGATTCTCAGAACATTATGTACCCTGACTAGGTCAGACTAATACCCTTATTTTACTTGCTATCATCACAACATTTTGGTCAATGTATTTTCTGGTCTTCTTCAGGTGTCTACTGTAGATAGTAACCTTCTAAGAATTTTCAGTCAAACCCTTTATTCGATCCACAGGTGGAAATTGAATCTTATTCTCTATTATCTTGTATCAATTGTGTCTATCTAGTTAATTCATGTTTGTCCTGGCAATAAATTAGATCCAGCAGCCAGGCCTCCAATCAGGAGATTGCAGGTTTTGGGGAACATGGAACCATCTCTTAATTGCCATTGTTTCCAGGTCCACTCTGACCTGGGGTAACAGCACCTGTTAGGGTCCCAGCTATAGGTAAATAGTGAGATCCCAAACAAAACACTATGAAAGTATAAAAATACCAGCAATACATTTTATATAAAACAATACATATTTATAGTAAAATTACTAACAATACATTTTTAAAGCAAAATAACCAGTTATACATTTTATCTGTAGTTGAAAGTGATGTAATGGAATAACCTGTCACTCCTATGAGTAACTACACTATAGGTAGTAACTACCTATAAATATCTGTAAGTCAACAGAGTACAGAGTCTAGCTGGGATCTGTTGAGTACAATTCAGACTTACGAAAGAACTACCGACCTTCCAATAGTAGCACTCAATACTGGATTGACTTGCGACGACCTCATGCATAACTGTTACCTTTATCCTTATTGTATTGGTTTTTAGAATAAACATTTACTTATTTTATCCACCATGTTTGTCAAGTATATATTCCTATTAGCACAGAATATAACAGAAAGCATACAATTGTGTTCAAAATATTTACATTTCGGCATCAAGTAACCCATACAAGTTGATAAGCTGCTAGATGGAATCAAACAATCAAATGAAAGAACTCTTTCATAATCCATATAATATCCTACAATTTCTTAAATCAACCTGTATTCCAAAATATAAATTCAACAAAGCTACAACATAAAACACACATATTACCACCTCTAGTAATCATGTCCACACAAATATGTATATGCACAAAAGCTGAGTATCATCTACCATGTATTCAATTGTGAAAGCAGAATAACATATATCATATTTTTATTACTGCAAAGCTCCCAAGAAAATTAAATGACCCATAAAGAGTTGATGTCATTAAACAAATCAAATCAAATAAAAAAAAAAACATCCTTTGTCTCTTCCACCGAACCAGAATATGTCTTTTTGTACTACCCTACCCAGGGAATGAATGAACTAAGTCACTTAGCCTTATAGATAAAAGGCATTGGTTATGTGACTTATATAACACAGCATTTTAATTAAAGTATTGTTTTTTGCCAAACATTAGGGTGAAAAGTAAGTTTCCCTATGTTAATTTCAATAGATGGGTTACAATTCATAATGGTTACCTCTTTCTCAATTTGGAGAAAAAAAACAATACTCTTGTTTTCTTCTTGCAGTCATGAAAAAAGATAATAAACTCTAATGACTTGGTTTCCTCTATAGGATTGTAAACAGACTAGCCATCTTCTCCCTCTTAGTAATACTTGCATTAATTTCTGACAATGACTTTCTCTCTGATTTTTATTGCTCAACATATAAATTGAGTGTCAAAGCTGACAACAATGTCAGGTCAAAAATTGCAAAAATTCTTTGATTAAATTAGATTCTACTTTTAATGTTACTATGATGATTTTTATTGATAGTCCTATGAACAGCCCCCTTCTTCTTGCCTCAAGACCAACTTTAACCAAGTGTAGGCTATTACAAATTTTCAGCGAAAGGAAAATCAAATTGTACCTTTTGTACACTCTGGGATTTAATATTTTGTATAATCTTTCTTGGAAAATTGAAATAAGTATTAAATGATCAACTATTTTTTTTAATTATTAATATATTAATGATATCTATTGATAATGTACAATTTTGGTATTTACTTACTTTCTATATCCATGTTTTAGTATTCATTATGCATGCAGTTGTTAGAATGAATGAAATTTTTTCTTAAATAATCTCATCTGTGATATCATGGCTTGTCTAAACAACAATTATATATTTGGACATCTAGACTGTAATTTAATCCTTTGAGGCTGGAAGCACCTAAATGTACCTGTAATCTGATTTCAATATACAGTGTTAACGTCTATCACATAATCAACTTGAAGCACTAGAAATCTACAACTTTTACAAAGTTGGAGATTTCCTAAAAGCATATCTCATAACTAGTAATACCAAGGAAGCTAAATTTGGTATCATTTGAAAGTAAAATCAGTTTACTTTTGTATAAAATCAACTTATTGCTTTTTAAAAGATTTTTTTTTCTTTAGATATATCAATTTAATTGCACTGATATCACATATTCAGTTTTTTCAACAATTCGGTCAGGATTCCAGGGATTTAAGAATTGAAATCTCTTAAGGGCTGACAGGGCTAAGAAGTCACTTCTTGCAGATCTTCCTACAATCAATTGACTCACCCAAAAATAAACTGCGTTCTTTGTTAATTCTGAAATCTATTTTTGTCATTCCTTCTACCTTTACTTGTTTGCAACCTAAACTTGAGACAAATATTACCCACCAGGAATGTAACATATCCCTAATCCCTGAATATTATAGATTTATACTTACTTGGTCAGGACTTAACAATTGAAATCTCTTAAGGGCTGACAGGGCTAAGAAGTCACTTCTTGCAGATCTTCCTACAATCAATTGACTCAGCAAAAAATAAACTGCGTTCTTTGTTAATTCCTAAATCTATTTTTGTCATTCGTTCTGCTTTTAATTCTTTGCAGACTAAAATTGAGACAAATATCACCCACCCCACAAGGAATGTAATGCATCCCCTATCCCTGAATATTATAGTTTTATACTTACTTAGTCAGGATTTAACAATTCTCTTCTTGCAGATCTTCCTACAATCAATCGACTCACCAAAAAATAAACTGCGTTCTTTGTTAATTCTGAAATCTATTTTTGTCATTCCTTCTACCTTTACTTGTTTGCAACCTAAACTTGAGACAAATATTACCCACCAGGAATGTAACATATCCCTAATCCCTGAATATTATAGATTTATACTTACTTGGTCAGGACTTAACAATTGAAATCTCTTAAGGGCTGACAGGGCTAAGAAGTCACTTCTTGCAGATCTTCCTACAATCAATTGACTCACCAAAAAATAAACTGCGTTCTTTGTTAATTCTGAAATCTATTTTTGTCATTCGTTCTGCTTTTAATTCTTTGCAAACTAAAATTGAGACAAATATCACCCACCCCACAAGGAATGTAATGTATCCCCTATCCCTGAATATTAGTTTTATACTTACTTAGTCAGGATTTAACAATTGAAATCTCTTTAGGGCTGACAGAATTAAGAAGTCTCTTCTTGCAGATCTTTCACATAAAATCAACTCATAAGATTTGACTTTTCAATGGTTTTGAGTTTATATCAATTTTTCAACAATTTGATCAGAAATTCTAAGATTTAACAGTCAAAATCTATTAAGGGCTGATAGAAAGAATTTGGTTCTTGTTGCAAACTGTTAAAAATTGGTAATTAAAAAACTAATAATAAAAAGTTTTATTGTTAGTTGGTTTTATTTGTTCATGGTTTAATCTGTTATGAAACTTGAAGATTTTTTTAGGTTAAAAGCCTAACCTAAAATTCTGTGGCTTCATTAAATTGTTATTTTTTTTTCTTTGTTTTTGTTTCTTTGCCTATTAGTTTTCAAATTTCCTAATATCCAATCCTAGTAGAAACATTTCACAATTCATTGTAATTGCTGGTATAAAAACTCACAGGCTTCTCTCTCACATCCTTTGTGCTTGCTTTGTTTTCTTAATCAAATTCTATATACTAACAAAACAATGCTAGAATTAGAAATTTTCCTTTGTTTTCTAAAACTGACAAACTGGTTTAACATCTTAAGATTGCATTTTTTTTAATTTTTTTTTTTAAATTAAAAAGAAACTTTAGCTGCAGCATTCTTAATTGGCTTCTTTTTTTTTTTTTTTTAGCCATGCTGTGGAAGCAGATGATGTTCAGGTCGACATAGACAGTTTTGAAGATGGAGATGTACAGACTCTACGAGACTCTTTACATTGGGAAGCATCACCTCCAGTTGATTCCACATCATCCAGTAATGGTAAACACTTGCTCTTCTAAAATTAAATATAAGCTTTTCCATTCTTTTTACCAGATATCTTTACAAGCCACATTAATGAGACCAGTGTTCTAGAAACCTCTGAGCCAAAGAGGCTAGCAAAATCATTGTCAGTCTCGTGACTGGGTGTGGTTGTGAGGTCACTGTGGAGCTGCACATTTGACCAGGTTGACAGGCAGAGAGATATCATGCTTTGCGAAGGTAGACCTGGCAGAGCCTCTCCAATGCACTTGCCCAGAAACTATTTTTATGCACCCTCTCCAATGCACTTGGCCAGAAACTATTTTTATGCACCCTCTCCAATGCACTTGCCCAGAAACTATTTTTATGCACCCTCTCCAAATAGACCCTGCCAACAACCGAAAGGGACAGGTGCACATTTTTGTAATGATTTTTCCAATGTTAGCCCCTTTTCAATCTGACAAGTAACAATTTTAGTATTTTCTTTTTTATACTATTGAGACCTTCAATAAGGTCTACGCTTTAGATCCAATGTGCTTTTAGATTAATGACTTCATGAGGCCGTCAGTAAGCACAACTCTTTAGATTCAATGTGTTTCTGAACAAAGTATTTTTTTCCTCAAGGCATGTAATAAAAATATTTCAGCATTATTTTAACAAGCAACTGGGTTTATTTACTGAAATTAGCAGCAGATATCATTAATACTAATTTTTGTGTTTTATGTGTCTCATTATGTTCCAACATGTTACATCACCCTGAAATAGCCTTTTTTTTTTGTCATTATTCTTTGCCATTTCTCCAAAGAGCAATGAGTAATGTGTTAATTATTTGTGATATTTTTTCTCACTGAGTAATCTTCAGCTAAGTTCATATTATCCAATAAATATCTGCTCTCTTTGTTTAATGTAAAAAAAAAATTAAATACTCCTCTATCTGCCCCTTAGCCCATTGTAAAAAAAAAAACAATTTCTGCCCCTTAGTCCTTTTTTAAAAAATAATTTCTGCCCCTTAGTCCAATGTTAAAAAAATGTCTACTCATCATCTGTTGTCATATTTTCATCAATGTCACATGATCAAACAACAACAGGTAATATTAAACAAAGTCAACATGTGAATCAAGTGGCCAAGTAAGGTCATGTTGCCAGGTGCTGGTGCGGATTTGACCAGAAAGCACACAAATACACACACACACACACACACACACACACACACACACACACACACACATATATATATATTTATCACTTTACATGTAGTATAGGGGGGAGCTGCAAGTAACATTGCTGGAAAAAAGGGGGATTTCTTGCCTGTTCTACTTCTCTTTCTCTTTTCAGCATCTGAAATAAACTAAGCCACAATCAAATTGGGGCTGTTGTGGGTGTTTGTTTATGCTGCTACACTATACCCCCTTTTTTCTTTTCTTCTAATCATTTTTTTTTTTTTTTTTTAGGTTCTCGTAAACGTGGCGGTCCAAGCAAGCCATTAAAGGCCTCAGTCACCAAAAAGAAGAAAGTAGTTAAGCAAACAACTCCAACCTCGACCCCAACAGCCAGTAGCAACCATCCCTCCAACAATCCTGTTGGTGCCAGCTTATATGACTTTGTATGATCCTTCTGATATGTAGGCTGACCACGCTCTTATCTTCATTGTCATCAGTGTGTTTACTATTCAGTCTTATAATACATCGATTCATGACATTCGCTTCAGGGATGGAGACCCTTTGTTGTCATCGTTGTCTTCACAACCTCTGACCTACCATCAGACTCTTACTACTACAATGGTGCTGATGTTGCTGCTATTATATGTACACACATTCATGTATGCATGCAAACGTGTGTGATATAAAGAAAAACAAAACAAGAAGGGGAAAACATATTCTCTCTATCTCTCTCTCTCTCTACCCCACTCCCACAAAAAATCATTTTTTAGGACAAAAACAGTCATTTTACCAAAATAAAATTTGTCAGAAATAAAACCTGACTCAAGAGGGGGGAAAATATCACCAAAAAAAGGCGGGGAGAAAAAGATTTTTTTTTTTTTTCCTTCTCTCCCCGCCCATCGTTTCAACTATGCCTAATATTGTGAATATACATTATTTGAAACCTTTGAGGATCATTCAGGGTTTTTTTTTTTTTTTTTTTTAAGGCTAAGGAGAAAGCCACATTCTGAATTAGAATTTAATTATCAACAAAATCTTCTTTCAACAGAAAGCAAAGAAGTTATTTTTATTGCTTTTTTCCTGATTTATGTTGTTTTAACATGTTGATTATTTTTTATGGTTCATGCCTTTTTATTTTTTAGTTACAGAATAAGTGAGGATATATTTATCATTATAATTATTCTATTTATTATAATTTTTATTTTTATTATGCTCCTTAAATAGATAATGCTGTCATTTTTTTTTTTTTTTTAATATGGTTTATTCGCAATATGATGCATAGTAAAACAGTTTTCTCCGTTCTTTTTTTTGTGTCAGCCTGCGTGTGTGTGTATGTGCGTGTATATCGTATATGCATGTGTGTGCGTGTGTTAATCAAGTTAAGAAACTCTCAAATGCAATGCCAGCCAATTTTTATATATATATATATATATATATATATATATATTTTTTTTTAATTTTATTTATTTATTTTTTTGTTTGTTTTCACGTCTCGATCATTTTACTTCAAATGGAACAGGTTTTGTATTTGTCTGTCTTTTGTGTTGTAGATTCTGTGGGAGAAGTAAAAAAACAAAAAAAAAACTAAAAACAAAAAAAAAACAGCAAAAAGCAACAAAAAAATAAATAAATAAACATTTGAAAAAAAACCCAAAAACAATGACAAAGATCAGCAACAGCATTATTTAATATATTAATTAACATATTTGCCAGTTGTTAAGATGCAACCAATACAAAGCAGTTAAGTTTTTACACAGTATGTGAACAAAAGAAAACTAACCTTTTTTTTTTTTTTTTTTTTTTTTTTTTTTTTTTTTTTTCTTCAAAATCCCCCACAAAGCCCAACCCACCCCAAAAAATGAATCATTATCTGTTGGGTCTGAGACAATCTTCAGCAGGAAATGTACAGTTTATTTCAGTGTGTCTTATTTTAATTTTAATTTTTCTTTACTGGTAACTGCTCCAACAGCCACCAGAAAATGAACTTATTATATTGATTACCAGGATCCAATTGAAAATTCTGAATTTTGATGGTTATTTGATATTCTGCTAGAAAAAAAATAGCCAATTTGAATTTATTTCTTGAAATCAGTAAAGTAGAAATACCAAACTTTCTTTTCCTCACCTCCCTCAATAAATTATACTTTTTTTTTTTCTTTTGTGAGATTGGGAGTTAGTTGTGGTCAACGCAGTCCCCCCCCTCCCAATAAAACTTAAAATAAAAAAAACAAATAGTGAAGTACTACTTAGCATCCTGACTGATGATTACTGTTTAGTTTTGAGGGGGGCTGGATTTGGGGCTGGTGGCTGTTAACACTGTTCTTTTTTTTTTTTTTTCTCCCCACCCCACCGAAATAAAAATTAGAAAAAAATAGTGGGGTGCTACTTCACACAACCCTGATGTTCATTTTCTTTTCAGCAACTAATCAAGGATCCTGACTGATCATAACTGTTTATTTTTTTTGATGGGTGGGAGGTAGGGTGGGAAGCTGAATTTGGAGCTGGTTGTTGTTTAACACACAGTTCTTTCTTGTTTTTGTTTTTTTTTTGTTTTTTTTTTTCCTCACCCACTATAAATAAAATAATTAAAAAATAAATTGTGGGGTGCTACTTAGCACAACCCTGACGTTAATTTTCTTATACAGCAACCAATCAAGCATCTCAATTGATCGTAACTGCTTGGTTAGCATATAGTCTAGCCGTGTGCTAGATTACCAACTGATCCTAGGTGTAAACAGTATTGAAATTAACTCTTGCTACATTAAAGAAAGAAACAAAGAAGAAAGCTTTATTGACATTTTTCTAAAGGTATTATTTATTTTTATTGGAATTTAAAAAAAAGAAAATACTTGAAACACTCTTGTGTAGATATTGTGTACCAGGAAAGGAAACATATTCTGGGCTTCTTTTAACTAGAAACCTGAGGTAAGTAATTTTTGCGTTATTTACTGTCATTTTGTGAAAAATCGCTTCCCACATCATTTCTTATTAGTGCCATAATTATTTTATACTTTGTTTGATTTCTGACAACCGTACCTCATTGTAGCTGTTAAGGCTGTTGGCCGACTGCCCAGACGACTCGTATGATCTTAATCTCCATGTCGAACCAACAATGGAGAAGGCTAATGCTGTACAATATTCATAAATGGCACTCCGTCTTTTAAAGTTTTATATAAAATTTAAAAATTACATTTGTTCATGAATTTTTATAGATTTTTATTTATTTAAAAACTATCACTATGCAATTTTTCCCAAGTTCAATGATTTCCATTTTTAAGACTTCAGCCATATTGCCAATCAGGTTCTCTGCCTTACAAAAAAAGAAATTCATCTTCGGCAGCTTCATAACTGACGTTCAATATAGAATAATAATTATAAAAATGGACATTTAGGTCAACTCCCAATGGCAACAGTCTTGTTTCATTCTTATCTTCAGGCCATGTGTGCAGTGTTTTGGCTTGATTATATATGCTGGTCAGTAGTGCATTATGGGTAGAAGGTCAATTATAATTATTTATACTATTCATATTCAGACTATTGTCCTCATCTTTGTTTTTATCACAACGTTTTGGCAATTGTGCCCTCCAGCCTTCCTCAGGTATATATATATATATATATATATATATATATATATATATATATATATATATATATATATATAGAGGCACGTGGAGTAATGGATAGCGGCTTGGATTGAGGAATCGCAGAGGCAAGTTCGAATTCCAGTTGAATCCATTACATTCCCTTACATGCTAATACCCTTGGGAAAGGTATGAATCCTCTTCTTCTCCCTCCAGCTATGGGTAAAATAGTAGGACAGACTGGGTTCTATAGCCTTGGATGGCAACTGGTCTAGGAGAAGGACAACTCTGAATTCAAAACCTGCAGAGGGTCATTTGGGAACCTTGTGGTACTTAGTGCACCAGGTCTCTGTATTCGTCCCTTCAAAAAGTGTGGATGGTCCTGCATGAAGCCTTCACCACTATAATCAAATCTCATGTGCCGTTATTGAGCTGTTGGTTTCCTGGAAACTGATCTGCTTGACCCTCATACGTCGAAAATCGACATGAGAGTCAACGACTATATATATATATATATATATATATATATCAATCTGGGTAACTTAGGAATTCTGAACCCTTTATTTAATTTATGGGGATAGACTGTTCTCATTCCACTGCTCATGTCTAGAGATATCATCTAGTCCTCTTTTTCTTTTTTTTTTTTTTTTTTTTTTTTTTTTTTTTAGTACTGTTAGTCTGTTGTATTATCCTATTGGTTATTGGGTGGGTGGTAACAGTTATGCTTCAAATTAATCTAGAGACTATTTAATAGAAATAATTGTGGAGCTGAATGCAGTTATTTGTAGCTATTTGATATAACATTATGCTCATTATTTGTTATTTATTATTATTACTGGTGTAGCATACCTACAGAACAATAATGGGTATGTCCCCATTCACACAAATACAGTAGTAAATACTGTATGTTGGTCTGCAGTTGGAGATTTGTCTCCAGCTGTGCTGGCCAAACTCTCTGCCTCCGGGAAGAGAGGATCCCCAGACGACGCTATGTCGAAGGGCAGAATCTCGTCTTGGGAAACAGCTATCTGACCCCATTTTATACAGGGTCTACGGGAAATTTTTGACCGAGCCTATGAGATTGAATACCCCATATTAAATTTGGCCTTGTGCCACAGATGACTGCATGGAGCAGTTGGTAGATATCCTGCAGCTGGAAATTCAATGTGGAATTCATTTGACTCACTTCTATGCACTGCTGGCGAATTTTGTGTGTGTTGTTCTTGTCCTGAGTATTATCGTTCATTACCAACCTTCGTTTGATTATTCTATTCAGTAACTTTCCCTAGGTTACAATTAAATTTACTTGTAGTTTATTTAATTTGTTTAATTATTGATTTAGATTTTTTATTTTATTTTGTTTTACTTACACATACATTTGCTTTTAAATAAGTAACTGCAGAGCAAAGAACAAATGTCCCTTAAACAGCAATTGCTTGCAAAACATGGTAATATACCAAGTCATTGTAAAATCAGCAGATAACAAAGAAAAAATATACATCGGAGTAACTGGGTGTTGACCTCAATGTCCACATTTATATTTACATATGCTCTATCTCTGATATTGAGAACTTTAATCCATAAATATAGCATACCTTAAAATTATATTTTTATCATAGAATAATGATTATAAATTTACCTTTTGGCAAAATTATTGGTATTATTAAATATTTTTTACTGGTAAACACCAAGTATACCAATCGATGGGTTTAAATATCTTTGTGGTCCAAATAGACAGGCCAAAACAATTTTTTTTTTTTTTTTTAATCAACCAAGAAAATCATCCTTATTCCAACCATCCCTTTTAAGGAATATTCAAGTAATTTCCTCCTACCACTTAATTTAGGCTGTGAGCATTTTGGAATGAA